TCAAACCCTTACCTAAACTCGTCATTATAGTACCAAACACAAAGAAAATTAACATGCAAAAGTGGGATTAGGTGATGTGTGAAGAAATAAATCAGAGGGGATGATTCAGTTTTAAAAGCAGGAGGAATCATATAATTTGTAAATGGGGAGAGTAAAAAAAAGAAAAGAAAGACTTCCCTTTCTCTCGATCGAACAACAACCACGACGTCCACTGAGCTAGGATTTTCAACTTTTGAAGGTGTACTTATTACTGCTGGAGTGCTCACTGCTGGCCTGGAAATCAAGTGAAACTCTGTGAATTATTCAGTTTCTTGGTTGCACTGATTTATATTATCATGCATATTTTTTAGGTATATATGTTGAACGAAAGCATCATACTAAGAAAACAAATGCTCTGACATTTGGATGTAATTTGTATGTGCTCTGTGCTCGACTTATTCTAAGAAATTTAGTGTCATTTATTATGTATCAGTACGAAATTTGAGTATATCTTTATATGAATTGTTACAATATGTTTTTGTTCAAGGAAAGCACTCTTGATGATTCGTATAAATGAATGTATTAAGGTAAAAAAATAATATAAATAAGTTAGGGATTTTAGAGTTACCTGGTTGTCGGTGTTCGTCAGGGCAGTAGTGTCATCAGAGAGGGTAGAATAATTGGTGGTGACTTGTGATCGAAGGACCACCGTGTATGGTTGTCGATCCTCTGGTTGGTTCTCGCTTGAAGAGAGACATGGCATGGGTCATGATGATGTCCTCGTGTGTTCCCTAAGCTTTATAGGTCACCGATTGGAGGAGAATGGCCACCCATATAGGGTGACCGAGGCGCTGTTGACTCCGGTTAGTCGGAGGGTCGGCTACCGCGGGGTGGTGAGCGAAGAAAAATGGGCGAGTTAGATGGATGTTAGGGATTTGAAATAATCGGGTTGAATGAAACAAAAAAGAAGAAGAATATATTATATTTAGGAATTTTGGGAAAACCAATCTAAGGTCTTTGAACCTTTAGCGTGTTTTGTGTTTCAGTCACCAAATAATGGGTTTATTACGTATAGATCCCCTAAATTTAAGTGTCTTATTATATCCTGGTCACTAAATTAAGGTATAATCACGTTTCAGCCCTCATATTTCTAGCACTTTTTGCATATTAATCATCGGTTGAACTCTCTTTAGGTACTCCTATCTTTGCCGTAATTTTACATTTAAAGTCCCTAATTTTATCTTTTATTTATTTGCGCTGATTTAAGCTGTATGTTTTGTTTCATGTTATTATGGTCACTTGTTGTATATTATTTATTTATTTCAAATTGTTCTGTTAATTTGTATTAGTTTTATTTAGGTCACTATTAAAGTTATATTTTACTTGTTATCTTTATGTTGTTATGTATTTCCCATTTGTCATATAATTTGTAAGGTGTATATTTTAGTCAATAGTAAAAATCACCTTCGTTTTTTTTATTTTATCATTTAATCCCATTCTTTTGTATGATATTTTGTTTTAACTCTTATGTCCTTGGATATAAAATAAATATAGTGTTTTAGTTCGTTATTTATGTTTTAGCCCCTTTATTTTTATTTTACTTTAATAGGGCATGTTATACTTAGTTTCATTTTAATCATTAATGTATTTTAATCCTTTGTATTAGTTAGATGCAATTTCTTTTCACTTTTTCATATATATGTTTATATTTGTTTAGTGATATTTGTATGTAAATCATATATTGTTATGAAAATAAATTTATTTACTAAGTACCCTTAATGCTTGTATACACGTGTATATTTAATCTTAGTCCATTTATTAATTTATTTGTTATTTTCAATTTATAAGATATCCACTAGTCATCATTTTCTTCAAATATTTTCAAGAACAACAATTTATAGAATGGGCGTGGAAAGCATCGCTTGATTGAAGTGGTGTAATCCGATACGACGTTCGAATAAATGTGAACTTGAAATAAAATTTATTTTATTTTGCTAATTAATTCTTTTTATTTTAAGTTAAACAATGCGATGCATGTTACTAAATAGCGATGTATTTTATGCGAAGATCGATTTTCATTTTTATATTTGATTCACGTTTTTAATATCAACGAGGGGGGAATATTCTTTAACTGATAAGAAATATTCGAGTTAGCTTTCCCGATGGAGGACTGCTAATTTTGAGATTTTTTTTAGTTAAAGAATTTTCTCTAATTATTTAATTCGAATCAAATTAATCATTGTTCGATAAATAGATCATATTTTAACTTTATATTCGATTTGTGATTTCTACCATTACGACAACGTGTAAACGACACAGTACTAATTTTGGGCGTTGTGGGGGTGCTAATCCTTCCCTATGCGTAACCAACTCCCTAACCCGTTTTAATCAAATCTTTGGTAAACGCATACCAGTTTTTGTCTTAAAAACGATTTTTCTTAAAATTGTTTTTAAAAAGACGTTTTTAGGTATTCGACCTACCTAACCCAAAGGTCGATGGCGACTCTATCCAATTTCATACAAATTAATTCAAAATCACTCAATTTTTCCAAATTAAAATCATAACTATTTTTAAAACAATAAACCATTGTTCCACTTGAAAACAGTTATGACACATATATGGTACCTATTAAAACTGTTAACAGGCAATGTTCATCTGGCCTACAAGAAGTTGATGATGTTGCTGTTTCTATAAAAGCATGATTTTATGATATAGGTAAGGATATTCACTCCCATCTATATATAAATGTGTGCACGCGCGTGTGTATGTATATATGAATGCTGTGGCATAATTATTTGAATATGTGAGTGATCTTCATGTTGGTTCAATGAAGGGCATTGGAGAGCATGACAATTGACAAAGTTGTTCCAGGGGTTCCCAAAGTTAACCCAAATTACCATGAACATATAGTTTGTATTTCACTATTTAGGACATGTTTTACATTAACTTGTTAACATCCAAGTGCATTATTTTTAATAGACAGAGGCCTTTATCCGAGCCTGGGACTTCCTTCTTCCTATGGGATTTACTTCTGAAAATGTTGCAGAGCGCTATGGTGTGACACGACAAGAACAAGATGAGGCTGTTGCGAGTCTTGTTTATTTTTATTTTTATTTCAATTTGCTTTTATCTACTAATATAGGCTTAATCATTGTCAATCTGAAACACCTTCAATGTATAAAACATAGGTTGAATCTCATAGGCGTGCCGCCGCCGCCACAGCCACTGGTAAATTCAAAGATTAAATTATCCCTGTATTTACTAAGGTAATTTTGTGCAGTGAATTATTCTGGTAATTTTGGATAACACCAGATGGAGTTGAAAATGCTCTCCACAAAGAAATTTCAGCAAATTATCGTTTAATAATAATCCCCAAAAACAGCAAGTTTTGGGAAATATGAAGAGCACGAACGAAATAAACAAAATAAAACCAGGGCAAATCATACAAATTTAAAAGGAAACTAAAAAATTAAACAAAATATCAAATCGTAAGAATGAAATTAGGGTTTAGAAAAATATGGGAATTTATGGTAAGTAAGAGCACGAACGATAGCAGAGAGTCGAGCGTTGATGGAGTGACATTGGAGGCCTCGATGACTTCGAGTGGCGACGAGCATCAGTAGTTTTGTGGGTATTTGGGTAAGTCCGGCAGAGATGGGAAATAGGAAAAGGGGATAATGGGAACTAGGCCTGTAAATGAACTGAACGTTCAGTGAACCGTTCATGAACCGTGCGGCGGGAAGTTCATTTATTTATTAAATGAACGAACATGAAAAAGATTTTGCGTTCGTTTAATTAAATGAACGAACATGAACAAAGGGCCCGTTCGTTCATTTACATTCGTGAATGTTCGTTATATGTTCGTTTATGTTCGTTTATTTATGTTCATTTATGTTCGAACAAAGGGCAAGTTGAATATGTTACGAAGATTATTGAAGCTGTTTGGATTTCAAGAAGATTGTTTTGTTGAACAAATTAACTTTAACACTTTATTATGTTCATATAGCTTATTTATGATTTGTGTATGTTTTTGTCGTATTTGAACAAATTAACTCTAAAGTTGCAGGTTATATTAATGAATTTTAAGTTGTTATTCTTGTTGTTTACTTTTTTACATTCGTTTGTTGCGTTCGAATAAGTTTTTTTGTGTTTGTGTTGTTAGTTTATGTTCGTTTATTTATTTAAATGAACGAACATGAACAAGCTATATTCCTTAATGAACGAACATGAACAAAAAAAATTTGTTTGTTTATGTTCGTTTATTTATTAAATGAACAAACATGAACATACCTCCGTTAGTGTGCGTTCGGTTCGTTTACAGGCCTAATGGGAACAGATGGAAAGGGGAATGGGCTTCGCACCATTAAAATTATAAAAACATTATGGCATTTGTAGACGCCATCATTTATCATTTTATAGCGGCGTTTTCTAAAAAAATGCCACTAAATTACAATTCTATCGCGACGTTTTTTAAAAAACGCCACTATATATGAAGCTTATTACGATATTTTCTAAATAACACCACTAAGGTACAAGTTTGTAGCGTCGTTTGTTCAAAAATGCCACTATATATGAAACTATTGTGGCTTTTGTGTAAAAAAGTCACTAAAGAACCAATTTGTTGCGGTGGTTGTCTAAAAACGCCACGATATATGTACCATATTGCGACGTTTGTTTAAAAACACCACTAAAGAACTTTTTTGTTGTGACGTTTGTTTAAAAACGCATTGTAGTGATTATCTGTAGCGGTGTTTGTCAAATAAACGCCACTAAAGTACGAGTTTTAGTGACACTTATTGAAAAACGCCGTTAATGTTACCATTTAGTGGCGTTTTGGATATAAACGTCGTGATATGTATAAATTTAGTGGCGATTGCTTTGAAAACGCCGCTACAATCACCGCTATATACCTTTTTTTGCTGTAGTGCGCTTTTCCCCCACAAGGTTTTACGAACAAAATAAAAGTGTTTTTATGCTACCACCATTCGGTCATCGTTAATCCCTTTGGCTTCCATTCGATATGGAGAAGGCGATGGTTTACACCTTCCTGGCCATTGCCTTCATGGTCCTCTTGTCATTGTTTAGCAGACAGCGTAGCCATCATCATCCGATGGGCTTGAACCATCGTCTTGCTCACAAGGTATCGTTCGATGCTATGGTGTTGAGAATCGAGAGGTGGACTAAAGATAAAGGGCCGGACAAAAACATATCTTACGTTCCCTATGTCGAGGATGCCCGGGGGTATTTTCAAGATGATGGGACTTCGAACACCATGTTGAGGTTGATGATTTTGTTCCCTTTGTTGGATAATGCATCGAAGGATTGTAAGATCAACGCAGAGGAGCTCGGGGTTTGGATAACGCAACAGGTCGTTGATCGTATGCGGTATAGAACGGATAATAAAGAGATGGCTTGGCATGATAAGAATAGGGATGGGGCTATCAACGTCGACTAGTATCTTCCTCATTCTACCTCGCATGATATAGGTAAACAGTAAACCCTACCTCTATTTTGGCTACGAACGTGGGGATATTCATTGTTCGAACCGACCGAATTGAAATTTAGTTCAATTAGTCAGTCGTTAATTAGATGATTGATTAACCGTTAAACTTTTTCTAAAGTTCGATTATTAGTTAATTCGTTTTGAAATTAGTTAATTAATTGAACATATATATTTAGGATAAACTATATATTTAATCAACCAACTATTTTCGTGGTTCCATTTTGGTCACCCATTTTTTTTTCAAAATCATACTTAAAGTTACGTTTTTATTCTGTTTTGATCACCCATAGTTAAAAAATAAATAGAAATGTTGACGCGACAATTTTTTTATTTTTTCCAATTATTATGTGATATTACCTTGTGGTGACACATCAGTATCACTGTTAATTTTTTAACGGCGGGTGACCAACATGTACCTTTAAGTATTATTTTGAAGACAAAAATTAGTTAGGTCGCTAAAACAAAACCACAAAAATAGTCGGATGACTGAATACATATTTTACCCTATATTTTAAGCTCAAACCCGAGTTAAGGTTCAACTATTTTTTTAACTACACTAGACTTAACTTTCAATATCCAATAAAATTTTAATCAACGACCGGATTAATTAAATTTTGTCTAATTTATTTACTAATTTCCAAAAAATTTAATTCGATTAACAATGAAAAAATCAATTAGTTCAATTTTAATTATTTTTTGTTAAACTTAATTAACCGTCTCAACATTCCTATCGAAACGTTATCTTTACCGTGTACGAAATAACCCATTTTGGTGGATTCGAAATAGAGAAAAACTCAATGGAACACGGTGAGGCTGGGTGGTGGATGCAGCAATTCAAGAACGCAGACGTGGATTCCAGCGGGAGCCTTGATTTCAACGAATGCAACGAATGATTTGTTCTTTCAATTTACCATTTTTTCATCTTCTTTTAGTAGGATTTAAGTTGCGGTTATAGTAATTTTTTTGGTTGTGTATATAGATAATAAGTGGTGATTGTGAGTTTCGCAATCACACAATAACTATTTCGGACTATATTGCTATTGTTATATAACAAACATTATTCCAATAACAAACTGCTAAAATCCTGGGTTTACGGTGATTGCAAAATAACATCATGCATGCATGTTTTTGGTGAAATGCAGTTTCTTACATCCTGAAGATGGCGAGAATGAAGAAATCCAGATATGGCTGTTGAGGGAAAAGATGAAGTTGGTTTTCCTAAATTCTTGTAATTATCATCTGGTTTTTTTCAATCTGGTCTTATTTCATTCTTTTTTTCATGACTAAATAGTCGTATGGACGATGATGACGATGGAACACTGAGTTTGAACATGCATACGACATTTACAAAAGCTATGCAGATTTTGAAAACTCTCCTTCTCTTACACCTAATGCTGAAGAAAATTTCGTAGAGCTTGATATGGACAAAGACGAAAAATTTCTCATCATCATACCCTAATATGCTTGTATATTGAGTTTAGGGATTTAAATAACCATTGCGGTTGTATTTTCGGTTGCGTTGCGTTTATCGTGATTGTGGACATAGTGGACACAACTACGGTGATTGCACGTATCGCGATCATACAATAATAATTGTGGACGCACCGTTACCGTTATATAGTATGTGCTATTGCAATAACATACCACTATTTAAATCCTTAATTGAGATGTTCATGGCTGACGATATCTGTACAATTTGAGCTCTTTACAGGAAGCTGTATCTTGAGTAATTGAAACCCCTACTTAGTTATCTCCACCCTGGGGAGCTGTTCTACGCCAAGTACTTCACTCGTTATCTGATGCGTAAGATGATTTGAATTTAGTGAAACACAATATAGATGGGAATGGTCATGGTACATTCCAATCCGATCTAAAAATTAAAACTCTTTTATCGGTATTTGATTTGACTCAAATTTAGAAAGGTTTTATCAACTCAAAAGTCGATTCATTTTTTAAGTCAAAATTCAAACCTAATATCTATCTATCTATCTATCTATCCATCCATCCATCCATCCATCCATCCATCCATCCATCCATCCATCCATCCATCCATCCATCCATCCATCCATCCATCCATCCATCCATCCATCCATCCATCATCCATCCATCCATCCATCCATCCATCCATCCATCCATCCATCCATCATCCATCCATCCATCCATCCATCCATCCATCCATCCATCCATCCATCCATCCATCCATCCATCCATCCATCCATCCATCCATCCATCCATCCATCCATCCATCCATCCATCCATCCATCCATCCATCCATCCATCCATCCATCCATCCATCCATCCATCCATCCATCCATCCATCCATCCATCCATCCATCCATCCATCCATCCATCCATCATCCATCCATCCATCCATCCATCATCCATCCATCATCCATCCATCCATCCATCCATCCATCCATCCATCCATCCATCCATCCATCCATCCATCCATCCATCCATCCATCCATCCATCCATCCATCCATCCATCCATCCATCCATCCATCCATCCATCCATCCATCCATCCATCCATCCATCCATCCATCCATCCATCCATCCATCCATCCATCCATCCATCCATCCATCCATCCATCCATCCATCCATCCATCCATCCATCAAAGCTGACCCAAATCAAAAATAATTGATGTAACACCTTAGACCATTACGACACATAGTCGACCAATGTAGGATGCCACACGGAACCATCAAAGTGGCTAACCAACTTTAAACTTAATTTCTCATGCTCTAAAATGACCATTATAACCAACCACAAAACAAACTGAAATATAATTAAAAAATCATCTTTTCACTGTGGAGCTCTAAAATAAAATATTTACACTTCAAAAATATTACTGACCAACTTGACTGAATCTAAGACTTAACTGGACAATAATGTTTACAAATATACATGCCCAATAAAAACGCTAAGACGTACATGTGATCTGCACTGGACTGATTTGGACCTTGGTCTATCTACTACTTCTCAACTGCTTGATCTACAAACCTGCCCACGGAAACATCTGAATATTGAGCTAACTAGCTCAGCGCCACACTAACGATTAAAATATACTAACTGCATCAGTGAAAAGTTCAAGCTATCAAGTCTACTGGTATAATGTCTACTGCTATATGTTCTACTAGCCCACTCCTTGAGTGTTGGACCTTACGCCTAAGCTAGTATGCTTTAAAACTGCTTTAGTGAGTATTCTCGAACACTCACTCTCTATGCTATGGTAGACATCATGGTGCGGTTAAGGGTTCTGCATCTTGAAGCTCGCATACCCCTCTAGTCTCCCTGGATATGCCCCTCAGAAGTCTCTACATCGGAAACCATACCCCTGACTAAACCATACCCTCAGATCCGATTTGATCCGATATTGACCCAATTTGATACCCAAACTGACTCGACTTACTATAGAACCGAATAAAATCGAAACTCGAAATGACTCGACCTTACCCGACTTACTATAAACCCGAATAAAACCGAAACCTGAAATAACTCAACCCGACTCAAACTTGACCTGAATTAAGTATAAACCGTAATGACCCAAACTTAATCTGATCTGAATGACTCGTTTGCCACCTCTAGTTAGAAAGATATGAGAAATATATGAATGAATAGAATCAGAGTAAGCAAAACTCGACTTGAAAATTCAAGTTTTTTTTGTAATTTTGAATTATTCGAGTCATGTTATTCAAGTCAAATCGAATAATCAATTTAGTTTTCGAGTTGAAATTTCAAGTTACTTGAATTTTTTAACTAAATACTTGTTAGTTTTATGTTTTAGTCCCTGATTTCATTATTCCTTCAATTTCTCCTTCATTTTAAGTCCAATTTTTTACCAAATTCGAACCACATTCTCCTAAAACGTCGTAAAAAACATATGTAATTTCAATTTCTCTTTTTTATAACAATTTTTCTATTTTTCAATTTAGTCATCAATTTTTCACAATTTTCTTATTTATTTAATTCATCTTTTATTTTAAGTCATTTTTTACGAAATTTTTGAGACATGCTCATATACCACAATGGAATACCTATGTGTCTTCAATTCTTACTTTTTTTTTACTAAAAATGTACTCTCTTTTTTATTTAGTCCCTTAACTTTGTATTTTACTCAATTTGGTCTTCTGACTACAATTGCTTGCAAATTCTTTCTTCCAATCAATTCCTTGACTCCTTTATACTCTCATCAATATTTTACCCTCAAAATACTTTCTTTAAAATATAATATTGTGAATATATTTTATAATTTTAGATTGTATTTGATAAATAACATTATAATATGAACAAAATAATATATATATATCTTATATGGTTAAACAAAGAAAAAAATGGAAAAAATCCTTGTCATAATACTAAAAATAATTATAATAAAATTAGTATAAAAACTCGAATAACTCGACTTGAATTCTTAAATTCTACTAGACTCGAAAAAATTTTAAAGTTAAGTTCAAGTTGTAAAATATTACTGGTCAATTAGAATAATCCGAAATTTTTTATTCAATTCGACTCGATCGAATGGTCGTCCCTAAATGAAATTGTTTTGTTTTCTTCTTTCAGTTGTCCAATCATTCTTCTCTCTTTGTTTTGTCTGTTGCTTACTCAATTTCTATTTGTTTCTTCTATGGTGTTCGATTCGTTCTATTTCTTCCTCTTTTCGTTTGTGATTGTTACAAAGGTGAATCATTTTTTTTATGGGAATAAAGATTTATTAAAATCAAAAGACGAAGAACAACTTATCAGCCTCATTAAAAACCTCCCTAATCAAACTGGAGGAAAAGAGTGCTAATAAGAGAACAATACAAACAAACAAACAAACAAACAATATCGAAAGTCAGGTCAACAGAGACAACAAAAGCGACCAGATACAAATCCAAAAAAAAACATTTCCAACTGACCAAACACCAACTTAAAACACATAACAATTCCAACCGAAAAGGCTTTGGCG